CGTCCTCGCCGTCTACCTCGCCATCAACGCGGCGGTCATGGACCCCATCAAGGGCATCCACACGCCCGTGCGCTCCGAGGTCTACTGCTGCTACCAGACCGCGTACTGCTCGGGCTTCTCCAAGTCCGACAACGACCTCTTCTCGTGCTCCTGGGACGGCGACAAGTACATCGTCTGGCCCGACCCGGCGCTCGGCGGCTACGGCTGGCGCCAGCCGGACACCACCTTCTCCTGCGACCAGCTCGTCGACTGGGCCGCCGGCGACTCGGCCCCGACCGCGAACTAGGCGCGCGAGCCGCGCGGAGATCCCCCCCCCCCAAGCACCACGCCCCCGACCCCTCTCGTGTCCGCATCGATCGGCGCCCCCTTCCCTCGCCAAAACTACTTAAAAATACCACTTTGCCATGTTGCATATTCAATGTTGAACGATGCCGCTCTCAAAACGAGCATTCAAAAGTCTGAGAGCGGCGCCGCGCACCCGAAAGCGCCGCCGCCGCTGCGTCGCCGCGGCCGAACCGACGCCGTCGTCGCTCGACGCACGAGACCGGCACGCCCTCGCGCCGCGCACCTCGAATCAGCGCTGACCGCCGCCGCGCGCCGCACGCACATGGCGCTCTCCAAGCGCGACGAGATCGAGCTCCGCGGCGAGCTCGCGAGCCTGAGCTACGACCTGCCGCTCGGGTCGACGTCGCTGGTCAAGGCGCTCGTCGACGACCTGCAGAGCACGACGCAGGCCTACAGCTCGCTCCAGGCGCAGGAGGAGACGCTCTCGGGCGAGCTGAGCTCGCTGCAGGGCGTCGTCGTGCCGCTGCGCAAGGAGAACGCGCGGCTCGTGCGCGAGAGCAACGCGCTCCACGGCGAGCTGCTGCGCAAGGCCGAGCAGCACTTCGACGCCGACGCCGCGGAGCGCGACGCGCACGTGTCGACGCGGCGCGCGCTCACGGAGGCGCGCTACCTGCTCAAGAAGCACAAGATCCCGTTCGGGTACGACGAGGGCGCCGCGGGCGCCGAGGTCGGCGCGGACGAGGACGCGGACGCCGCGGCGCTGCGTCTGCGGGTCGGCGAGCTCGAGGCGCGGCGCGCGGACGACGAGAAGGTCCGGGACCGCCTCGTCTTCCTCGCGGAGGAGCGCGAGAAGGAGCTCGCGCGGCTCAACGGCCTCGTCGCCTCCGGCGCGACGGCGACGGCCGGGTCGGCGTCGGCGCTCGCGGAGAACGAGCGCGTCGTCGCGGCGCTCCGGCGCGAGGTCGACGCGCTCAACGCGCAGGTCTCGGAGCGCGACGGCGTCGTCGCGGGCCTCAGGGGCTGCCAGGACGACGTCGGCGCGCTGCGCACGGCCCTCGCGGCGGCGCGCGACGAGATCGCCGAGGCGCGCGCGGCGACGCGGGACCGCGAGGCCGCGGACGGCGAGCGTTTGCAAAAACTGGCGGCGGACGCCGCGGACTCGCGCGCGGACGCGGAGGACGGCGAGGACCGGGCGGCGCGCTGCGAGGCGCGCGCCGCGCGCGCGGAGCACGCGCTCCATCGGGCGAAGCTCGCGCTCGCGGCCGCGGCCGCGCGCGTCGCGCCGCCGCCGCCGCCGCCGCCGGGGCCCGCGGCCGCCGCGGCCGCGGCGCCGCCCGCGGCGGCCGCCGCGCTCGCCGCGGAGCGCGAGGCCTGGGCCGACGCGCTGGCGTCGGCCGTCGACGAGCTCGACGCCGCGCGCGCCGTCGAGGCCGCGGCCGACGGCGCGAC